CAAAGGAAGAATGCAGCTTGTCTGAGCAGTCATTGTTTCCATTATGAATGACAATAGTTCACACTGTACCAAGAAAAAGAGAAATCATTTTTGTTTCTCTACCCTTGGCAAGCGACACAGTGACAGTGGTCAGCTGAGGGGGTTCTTTTCAGAAGCATGGAAGAAGCCTGCTCCCTGAGTTCCAGCTCTCTGTCTCCATGTCACCAATGTCCTGCCTGTGGCTGACTTCCGATTTGCTTTTCTCTCTGTTTGCACGAGCTCCTACAGAGCAGTCACAGTGCTCCATGTGTATCCTTCTGCTTCTCTTTGAGACAGGCCTCTGCTCTGATCAGTGTTTACTCCCCACTGTTACAGGGGTCTCTCCTGATCAAACTAGTAAGAGATGGTTGAACACAGAACCCAGGACCCTGACACGTGATACCAACAGCAGTTGGCTAGTGAAACATTTTCAGCCCTGCGGAGGAGGACATCACACTATCCAGGGCCACATGGGGTCATATTTAAGGGTAGAATGTACTTGCAAGGACTGTGGTGGCAGCTTAGGCAGTGACAGGCAGGTGCAGTGTCCTCGTTTCGTTGAGGAGATGTGACAGGTTTGCAGAGCAGTTTTGTGGTTGACAGGGTAGGGGAGACCCATTAGGATGAGGGCCAGGTGAAGTGATTTAGTTTGGCCAATAGAGGAGTAGGCTGGGCAGGAGAACTTTTGTGGTCCTCTGAGGCCTTTTGAGGCTCAAACGTCAAAGCCACACAGGGAAGTTCAGAAGTTACGATGTAGCACCACCGGTTGTCACATGGGAAGGCGTGAGGCAGAGGGCAAGCGGCAGCAGCTGAGGCCTGGAGTTGGGCAAAAACGACCTTTCCTTTCCTCCACATTGCTCTGAAGCTCTTTGTAACCCTATCTGAATCCCACTGAGAGACACTTTTAAATAGAGTGAAGCTTAGAGAAACAGGAGCAGAGGCAGAAGGACAGAGCCTGGTTAAACCCCGGGTGCTGAGTGTGGAGTTCCTCACCTGCTGGGACACCTGCCTCTGATACAGGCCCTGACATCAGAAGAAAGGTGTAAAAAGCTTGAAATGTGGCACAAGGTCAGGTTGTGTCCGGTGCTGAGCCCTTTGACACCCTCTGGGGCCTTCTCATGGCCTGACTTCTCAGGCAGGACCTTGCTGGGCTACTGTGTGCAGTCTATTTGCTCAGAGCCTTGTGCGGCCAGGTTGCAGCGTGACTCTCCTTGGGAAATCCTTCAGGCTCCCTGTAGGGCATTTCCAAGTACCCAGGGAGAGGACTCCTCCCTACTTGGAAACTTAGGCTGGATAGATGTGTCACAAGGTTCTTCAATAATTTATACACTGTCTCCTTTTATCTATGGAAATATAAAGCTTTTAGAGCTGGCAAGGCCCACTATCACATAGTCTAGCCTGAGCAGAGAGCCAGGGAGGGAATACCGCTGAGCTCATCAGGGGCAGAGGCGAAGTCAAATTCAAGTTTTTGGAACGCAAGACCATACAGCTTTAAGATATGTGCAATAAAAAGCAATAGCACGGGGAAGTTAAAGTAAGCGCACTCATTCATGAAAGCACGATCGTCATTGCAATAATCTAAAATAAGGGTATTCTAGTTAAATTAAGAACTAAACTTAATATGAATCTGAATTTAATCCTGAGCTTCCTGGCACACAAAGATGTGATGCTTTATTATTCTTATTTTTTAATCTGGCAAAAGGTAGCATAGAAAAGGATTTACTGGTCAGCAAGAGCAGATGGCACAGAGCAGCACCATGACTTTACTCCACAAACACACAGACCCCGGAGGCTCAGTGCTCAAGAAGCCTGTTAACCATGGGGAGATATGCACTTAACATCCAGCGTCAGGTGTGATGGGGGATCCTGGGGTGCTGAGGTGGCCAGAGCTGAGATACACAATCCAGGCTGGCAGAGAGGGTCCTGCTTACACCAGAGTCCCATCATCTGTTGAGAAAGCAGGACTTGGTGGCTAAGAATGGGGCTCTGTGTTTAGGGGACTCTGCATGCAGGGAACCTTGAGTGGCCTGGTGGGTTCAGGGAACTGCAGGGGTTCATGGGTCAGAGGGCAGGAGGGACATCTGGTCTGTGGTAGGGAATGACCAACAGGACACAAGTTGGCCATGATTACAGCTGTGTCCTCAGTCTCCACCTTCCTGCCAGAGATGTGAACATCTTTATTTTCAACCAGTTTAAGACTCAAATACTTATACCTGGGGAAAGGGTATCCAGCTGACTTTTTTGTCTTTCAGACTTTCGTGATAAAAACAGGTCAAGGATACATTTGGGTGGAGAAGGAATGGAGTGAGTAGGTGAGTAAAAGAGAGAGGCTGAAAATGGGGTGGCATCCCAGGGGACTTGGAGGTCTAGAGGCAGACTGAACATAACCATGGTGTCTGGGGCGATTCTGTTAGTCCTCTTCAAAACCTCTGCCATGGCCAGTGACCCAGCCCTACAGTTAGCTGTGGCTGGCCTAGATGCTTTCCATAGCAGTCAGCTTTCCTGTTGATGTGACAAAGCACCCAATACCTGCAGTCTGTGGAGGGGAGGTTTATGTTGGCTCACGGTTTCAGAAGGTTCAGACCTTGGCCAGCTCCCTCCAGGCATAAAGGACATAGTGGAAGGGCATGGCCAGAGAACACTGCCACCCAGTTGCAGCTAGGAAGCAGATGGAAAAGGCAGGAGCTGGGGATACCCCTCTATGACTGCCCCCAACTTGTCCTTACAGCCTAACAGAACATCCAGTTACTGAGCTCATCAGTGGATGAATTCACTGACAAATCAGAACCCCATTATCCAATCACCTCCTAAACACATGAGACTTTTGGGGGACATTTCAGATCCAAAGCATAACACTGTCATTTGGGCACGGTTGAGAGGGGAGAGGCTGGCATATCATGCTTTATGAGGTTATTCTGATAGAGTAGAAGGTGGATGTGTGTGGGGGTTGGTGAAGAAGGCAATTCATCAGGTGAGAGCATGCACTGTGGAGATGGAGACTGGGTGAGGGAAGGGGCAACACACAGGATGTACGTGCATGTGTGCGCCTCAGCTCATTCAGCTGTGGTCATGTTCAGGGCTGAGCTTTCTGGGAGGCCACATGCTTTCCTGTTTATCATTTCATTTGCACCACATGGTCACAGTCACACTGTGAACAAAGAACTTTCCTTAAGGTGACAGAACCAGGGTTGAGAGACTAGGTAGCTGCCCAGAGATCAGAAAATGAGAATCCCTAATCAGCTGCCTCCCCCTGCGCCACCCTACACCTGGTACTCACAGGCCACAGGGGAGGGGAACCCTCCCATGCTAACTGGCAGCCGCTGTCCCTGGGCCTCCATGTGAGCCCCTCATCCTGAGCACATGGACCACCAGACCCAGGAGAAGGACCCACTGCAGACTCCGCAGATGCCTTCTGGATAGAAGCAGGGCTTGGAGATTGTGAACAATGTCTGCCTCAGCCAACATTGAACCACTGGGAAAATCTCAGTGATTCTGAAATGGTTAAGTAGCTAACTTCTGGGACAGGTCTGGGAGCATTCTTTCAAGGTGCTGATATTATGTCAACATATTTTTAGCATAAACTTAGACCTTAGGTTAAAGGTGATTTATTGTATATAGGAATTATCCTCTTCAGCAGCTTGCCAAGAGCAATGCAGGCAAATGCTTTGGGTCCTTTTGCAGGGAGAGAGGCAGGCATGAGAAAACCATGGAGCCACAGGGTTAATGACAGGACCCACGCTTATGTCCTCCAGCCACTTGTGTCCCCACCTTTCCTTCCATGAGCCAAAGAAAAATACTGGAGTCCAGCAGTCACCAGCACATGGCCAAAAGACCGCCTTGCACTTTGCATCCTCTGGGCCTAACCCCGGCTACAGAGCAGTTTTACCTCCTCCTCGAAGCCAAGAAAGTCTAAGTATTGCTTCTTTCTCTGACTGCCTACGTGGGTTGTGATTCAACAAAAACCAAAAACCCACAGACACCATAGTGTGCTTTCACGAGGCCAGGAAAGCACCCCATCTTGTGTATATACCTCCCTGTGCCCACACTTGGCTCTGAGTGGTTCTGCTAGGCTCGCTGGTCCGAGGCGGTGGTCAGCGGATGCCGGGAGGTAGACATCTGGCAGAGCCTATGCCGTTGGTTGGGAACCGAGGGAACACTGGGCGCCTACAGTTCTGAGCAGCTGGCTCTGAGGAATTATAGCAAGTCTGCAGGACTTAAAAATGTGCAGTTTGGGGGCGGGCGGGGGAGCGCGGGGGTGGGTCCCCGGGCTAGTGGGCTGCCGGCAGAGCCTTCGGCTGCTCAGCGCAGAGCTGCCAATAATGCCTCTGGACCACACGCTGCCCTCACAGAGGTCCTCGTGTACCCCCAGCCCCGCCACAGGCGTCTCGCTGGGACGCCCTCCTCCCGGTCCTTGGAAAGGGGCGCGTCTGCGTGCACGTGGTGGCGAACCTCGTCTGACTCGGTAAGGGGACAGAACGCACCGTCTCTTCATCCCGCGCGTCCTCAGGCGGCAGAGTGGCAAATGCGGGACGAACCGGGGCTGTTCTTCCCTTCACACTTTGTTACACAAGTTGGGGTCCTGAGGTGAGATTCTCCAGGAAAAACCCGGCAAGCCAGAGAGGTGCGGAGAGACGTCCTCCCGGCTGGCGCTCGGAACCTGCACTGGGTCCGGGGAGTCTCTCGTCTCCGACCGGCCGCCCGGCGATCTCACCCGCGGTGCCCACGCCAGGAGCCCGCAGCCGGGCCAGGGGCGGCGACTGCGCGAGCCCCGCCCCGCCCTCCCGCGGGCGGC